GCCCTCAACATCCACAGTAATAATAAGGGGGTTCATGGTTCTTAGAAAAGAGTTAGGCAGGAAAATTAGGGGGTTTCGGGTCTGCCTGCAAAGACACTGAGCTCATCCTATCCCAGAAGGGGGGCAGCAGTGTGGCTGGGCGCTCCCTAATCCGCCCACAATTAAGCAAGCCAGAAGGCATTTTTTTTTTTACTCTCACAAAGAAACAAGTAGGCAGAGAATTAGGTACCAGTTTAAGCCACTCACTCGCACCTGCACAATGAAGAGCCTAACGACCTTCAACTCACCTGAGCCTCATTACAGCATCATTATAACATGATGCCCAGAAGTTCATCAATATCGTTATAACAGACTGAATTCTGGGAACAAACGTGTGCAGAAAGCAAAATGAGGAATCACTGAGCCCTGTCAGCCACCAGGCCTTCGAGCCAGGCTTCTCTCGCTCAGGCCCCGTCCACGTCTGGAAGTGGACTTTCCCTTCTAATAAAACTTTTCTACTGTGTTTCGGTGTCTTGCTCAATTCTTTGTTCGAGATATCAAGAACCCGGACAACACGCTGGGAGAGGACCCCGCTCTCTGGTAACAGATCAAATCAACATCCGTGGGGAGCAGCTGTCTCCCCGAGGGACAGGACAAATCCCGCTGGGGGCTTTCCACAGCCCTGCCCCGTTTCTGGCGCTGGGGGCACAGTGCTGAGGGGTGGGGCTGCTCCGGCGGGGCAGGGCCTACGAAGCTGCCACCCCCGGTGAACCCTGCAGACCACCGACGGAGCCCGGCAAGCCAGGCCCCTGCCGCTACCCTCGAGGAATCTCTGAATCCCGTCACGAATTTCACTGCCGGCTTCTGGGATTATACGTCATTTAATCATTTTCTTCACCTCACTTTTAAAATTAAATATTGACACGAGCTTCACCGTAAGCAGTCAGGTATGTAAAAGCACAAACCGAAGGGCTCGTGGTATGTGCACACACAGATGCAGATCTCCCAATGCGTGTTAAAATTAATAGAGAACCATTCTTAAGTGTTTGTCCATGGGCCACCTGTGATTGATCATAGGACACTTCTGGAGTCCGTGATAGAAAAAGCTGGGCGATTTTAATTTCGAGTTCCTTAAAGAACGTAAATGTCATTCGTGACTCTGAAGTTCAGGGCCGCAGACGGAGGGCGGGTGAGAGGGTCCCTCCCGTCTCACTCTGAGGGCTGGGGAGGGGAGCGACGCTGCGCTGTGTGACCGCAGGTGTAGATACAGGGCGACGCGGTAGAGATCCGTGGTCGGGGTGGGGCTGAGCATGGTGAGCCGAGCGCGGTGTCGCGGTGTCGCTGATGGCTGACAGACCGACATCTAGGTGTCCGTGTGCTTTAAACCTATGAAAACCTCTCAGGAAAGGTATTAAGAATAGAACTATCGGGGAAAAAAGGTGCCTCACGGCAGGGCGATCAGGCAGAACTGCTGTACGTTTTCAGCATCGGTTTCTGGACTACTTTTTTGTTACCATGTATTACTACGATGTAATTTTCATTTTTACTTTTTTTAATTTCGAAATGCTGCAGGCTGGGGCTCCAGCTCCGGGCTTCCCGGTCCAGGCCCAGGGCCGAGAGGGCGGAAGTGCGGGCTCTGCTGTCCCCTGCTGGCCACAGTGCCTCCCACCACCTGCCCACATTCTCGGTGAAAGTTCCCAAGCATCTTGCCATCACAGCCTCTACCACCAGACATCCTGTCTCCAGGACACCTCCCAGCCGTGGCAGTGCAGGGTGCCTGGGTCATCTGGTACCAAGGCCCGGCTGTGAGACCCCTGTGCCCCAAGGGAGCTGTGGCCCTGGGCTGCAACGAAGCCTTGGGGCATGAGCTTTCCCATGGGTGCTGTTTGTTAGGGAAACCTGGAATAAGACAGCCGCTTACAAGCTGTGTGACCTTGGATACGTTACTTAACCTCTCTGTGCTTCGGTGTTCTCATCCGTAAAATGGAGTTGTAATAACTCCTATCTCCTAGGGCTTCCGTGAGCTAAACATACAGAAGGCACTGGAGCCGTGTGGACACGGTTGGGGTTTGCTCTCTGCATTGCTGGGCCCGAGACAGCGCTGGATGGGGACACGGGCAGGTTGTCGTGAGAATGTCCAGGGCTCTCATCAGGACAGAGGCTGGGGGCTGAGGACACTGCTGCTGCCCAGGCTGCCCACCCCCGCCCCCAGGCTGGCTGCCCCAGGAACTGGAGAGTGGTGATCAAATGGACACCCATTTCTCAGGAGACTCACCTGGGCAGGGGTTAAGGGAGCTCCACAAGCTCACCCGACCAGAAACCCAGGGAGCACGCACCCCTCTGAGGTCCATGGGTGTCAGCCCCGAAGGACCTCCAGCCCAGTGCCTGACAGGCTCGTGGCACTGGACAGGGACACAGGGGTGTCCTGGGGGTGTGGGCATGCAAGCCCTTCTCTCTCCGAGTGGCGGGTCTGGCCTGGGAATACTTTCCTCTGGTACAGACCCCCATCCCAGGGAGCCCGAGGGGGGTCTGCTGTGAGTCTGGGGACCCTCCAGCTTCTGTGTGGGCCATCTGCATCCATGACCTCCCCTGGGGATGTAGGAATGGGGTGCATGGACACCAGCCAAGGCCTCGAAGCACTGACGAGTGGCCCCGGCAGAGGAGCCAGGGCGGAGGCAGGCTGGGGCGAGTCAGTGCGCTCACGTTGGAAGCTGCACATCCCAGCGTGGTGAAACTGCCCCCTGCTCGAACCCTGTGTCCTACTTAATGACAAACCTGTAAGGCCAGGCAGTGGGGGGCGCAGCGGGGACACCTGCAGCCAAGCCAGGTTCCAGGGGAGCTGCTCCTCTCCAGCCTCTGCTCCTTGGTGACCAGATGGCACTAGCTGGGAAGAAACAAGTGCCCAGATAAGTTTGCACTCAGATACAAGAGGCCACGGTCTGGCTCGATGGTGCTGGGAGCCTGGCCTTTAAACACAAGGACGGGAGGGGGGTCCCTCTGAGGCAGAGCCCAGACAGAACTTGACCCCGCACTCCCCCAGGAAGGAGAGGAAGCGGATTCTCCTCCTGGAGCCTGCAGGGGGAATGCCAACCACGCCTCGACTGTAGCCCAGTGAGACCATCCTGCATTTCTAACCTCCAGGATAGGAAAGGAGTAAATAAATGCGTGTTGTTTTAAGCCACCGAGTCTGTGGCGTTTTGTTACCGCCGTCACAGGAAACGAATTCAGGGCTCCAGGCAAGCGCACCGTGGGGTGCTGTGGTTTGGGAAGCTCGTCCCACGGGCATTTTAGATGGCTGCAGTCAACCCCACGCGTATTTACCAAGCACCTTGCAGGCGGCGCACTGGGCCACGGGGAGACAGAGATGAGCCTGCCGCAGGGGGAGCTCCCGCGTTCTTGGAGGTCGCCCCAACCCACACTGGGTTTCAGCTGGTGCGAGATGAGACTATTTCTACCCAGCAGCCCCAACACAGCAGCTCCGAAGGGCAGCTGCAGGGCCCCCCTTTACCGGAAAGGGGCGTTATCGGGACGGCTGTGAGGAGGCTCTGCGGCGAGTCCGTGCCCGCCGCTGCCCGCCGCCCTTTCTCTGCAGAGGAGCCTGAGGGGCTCATCGGGCATGGGGCTGGGGGGAGGCTCCAGGGGGGTTCTCAAAGCACCATGGGCGGCTCTGTGGTGAAGGGAGTGGGCTGCGGGAAGGCAAGAGAGCAAGCCACCCCCGACCCACCCAGCGATTCCACTCTGGGGGCGTATCCAGCGGAAGTGTGAACAGACGTGAGCCCGAAGACACACACTGGAAAGCTCACGGCAGCACGACGACAGCCCCTGGAAACCACCCAGATGCCCACCAACGGCAGCCTGAACGCCCAAGTGTGGCAGATTCACACAGCGGAGCCCCAAGCAGCAAGGATGACGGAGCCGTCGCTAGAGCCAGCAGCACTGTGATGCTCACCAGCTTAACGCCGAGCAAAGCGACACCTGTTGCACGACTCCATCTACGCAATATTCACGAAGGGGCGCAATGACCGCTTTAAGAGTCAGAACGGGGGTCCCCTGAGGGGAGCATAGAGGTTGGGAGATGGCACGGGGGCCCTCTGGGATGCTGGTGATGCTCTAGCCATGGACGGGGGGGCGGGGTACGTAGACAGGAGTGTTCACTTTGTGATCACAGCGAGCTGTACACATGTGGTTTGCAGATCTGCCACGTGCACGTTATATTGCAATGACAAGTTTATTTTTTTAAAAGTATTCATGAGCACATGACAGTGACTGGAGTATCTTGGCGGCTATGTGATATAGGGGACATCGACTGGGAGTTTGAAGGCCCAGGTTCTACCCTTAAACTGCCTGGACGAAGAGACTGTGTGACCCTGGACAAGCTGCGTGACGCTTTGTGGGTGTCAGCTTCCTTACCCCCACATTGGGAAGGTGCGGATGTGAATTCCACTGTTTCTGCAGAAACTCAGTGAGGGGACCGAACTGTGGCTAACCTGACTCGTCGTATAAAAAAGAATTCAACTGTGCCACACCGGAAGTGCCACCTGTCTCCTCGTTGAGGTGGTCGCGCAAGGAAGTGGCCCCGCTGCCAGTGTCCCGGCCTGTGGCTTTGGCTAGGGGGACCATGGGGACTCTGGGAGCACTCAGTCTGGGCTGGGGTTCCGGCAAGGTCCCCATCTTGGTAGCGTGAGAACCCACAAGCTGCCTCACCTCTTGGAGCCTGTCCCCACGCAGAATGAGGATGGTGCTGTCTATGGGGCAGGTGACACGGTGACGTGGAAAGTGCCCAGCGGTCCCTAAGTCAGGTGGGACCCCTGCCCGGGCCAGGCCAGGCCACAGACGTCGCTGGCCATTCTGCCCACCTGCTGCCCCAAAGCAAGCAAAGGAAGCCGTGAGCGCAGCGGCCCTTGGCGGTGGCCCAGGGACCCCTCCGGGGGGACTCAGGCCTGTCCCTGGCAGGGCGCCCCTCCGCTGGGGTTCCGGGCTCACGGCAGAGCAGGGCACAGGCTGGGGTCCTGCTGACAGTGTGGAGCCCCGGGAGGGGTCCGGGGGTCCCCGTTTTGCTAATCCCGTGGGCCTTCTCCGCGAGGACTGCTGTGTCCTCAGACCGTGGTCTGGAGGGAGGTAGCAGGGGATGGGGACTTCCAGGTCCCCGAGGGCGGCCCGACCCGCACGGCGCGCGGCGGC